AGAAATGTGAAAGAGAGGTTAGATAAAACATTTGCACCGACTGAGGCAAGCTCAGGCACTGCACAAAGGCACAAGCAACGTAACGAGCAGAGGAACCATCAGGTGCCGAGATCAGCGCTGAAAGGGAGAAGGGTATTGGGGTGGAAACTATTTTGTGCCTCAGTGATGTAGGACCTCGGCACCCATGAGCTCCTGATGGGGTACAGCATTTAAGTCACTGAATCGCTGGTCCTCAACACCCCTCTGATGCTCCAGGACCAGAGCACAGGCAGCGCTGCATGGTCTTATGTAACGAAGATCAAACCAGGTGGTTGGGGAAGGAAACAGGGGTAACTGCACGGTGCTTTCACCTACAGATACCATGGTGAACATCGCTGCTTTTGACCATGCTTGGTCTGGTGGTCTCATGTTGGTGGCTCCTCATTTATACCCTGTGCCGGCGCATTCTGAAAAGCCGACTTGCTCCACACTCTGCAAATGCCTTACCTTGAGAGGGTACCATAAAGGTTCAGACACCTACAGTTTAACCTAGTTTAGGAATAACAGTTTAAAAAACACTTAAGAGCCTCTCTGGAGTGGGGGTAGGGACTTCACCTATTCCTCAAAACTGAGAGCTGCAAAATTAATAAAGTTCCTGGGAAAACAGCCAGGGGTTTCCTATGGGTTTTCTCACCCTGGCACATTCATTAACCAAATGCCACATTACAGGGGAAGATGAAAAGTATCAGGATACGTAAGAAACACTACTTCCCAGAGCACTGAGCGCCTGATATTTTTTATATATACACTTCTACATACAGAAAACGCTCTGCTCCTGGGGACCATGCTGATACGCAGTGGAGAGGCTGCACACACAAATCCATCTACTCACAGCTCACACGAACACCTGTCGCCGCTCGGGTCTAATTTTTATTTCCTCCTGCAATCAAACATTCAGGTTGCAGGGGAGGCTGGGCCAAAGAAAAAAACTGCCAAAAGCAACTCAGCCGTCTTTAATATCAAGGAGAAAAGGTTGAGAGCTGAATGGACACAAGGCTAGTGATGTCAATTATTTATCTGCCTTTGAATCTTTTTCATCTTCCCTCTCAGGTCAGCCAATGACAAATCGATCGGTTAGACCATGCCATCCTGCTTTCAAGCGATTATTCAGTTAGTACTGAGGATGGGATGCCTTCCAACGCATTAGCTATCAAAGGAAGAAAATGCCCACCCTTACCCTCCACCGGACCAGAAGCTCCTTGTGCTGTGAAAGTTAAAATGGGAGCCAAAACCTGCTCCCATTTTATCACTGAAACCTGCAAAGCACTGGGTGAAGATGCTACATTAATTCTTTATATTCACACTTCAGAATTTTTTTTTTTTTTTGCTCACAGCAGTGTTAGCGCCCTATAATGAAACAGCATGTTGAAAGAGAAAAGAACATGGAAATCCTAACCACCACAAGAAATTCAAATAAATGAGCTGGAGAATGCCAAACTATTGTTTGACCCAGGCATTTCTCAGCATTAAAATGTTTGTCCATTTGTATGACAGTTGGAGGTCGGATGATGGTGTTATATTTCACTGCGCAAGATCATTTAGGAGTTCTCGGTCAAATGTGCAAGGAAAATAATAAAATATTGTACAATTCATTTTATGGCTTGCTGGCCTCCAATGTTAGTTTCTATAAATATACGTACACTAACTGTGAAAAACATTTGCTAGGATGTTTCTCATCTGACATTGAACATTAGCCTGTGTAAGGACTTCTCTTCAGTACAAACAGCCATCTCCTGAGAGCCTGCACCACTGTCGCCAAACGCTATTACAGAGTCACAACGTCCAGCATGTCCTATCTGCCACGGTAATGCACATTTTTGTTCAGGAACACAGAAAATATCTCCGAGTTAAAGCAATTATCTTTCCTATTGATTTCCTACCCATTTTCCCATGTAGAAAACTTTTTGAAAGATTTCTAACCTCAAGACACTTCAGAACATAAATTGAAGTAGTCTGGTCTTTCCAAGTCAGAGCCCACAGCAAAGGCACCCAGAGGCATGAACGCATCCCATTTGTCCTACAGAGGAGGTGCTGGACATCCAACAGCAACCACTGAAACACTGACGCTTAACCACTTCACTGCTGCTATCATAAGAGATGCCTTCAGCTCATACACTAATGATGGACTTCTCAAACATTAAGTCAATTTCCAGAAGGCTCCTCCCAAAATTTGTTTTTGGGTTTTTTTTTGTTTTGTTTTTTTTTTTTTTTTTTTTTTTTTTTTTTGTGGAGCAAGTCAGAGTAATCTCTCAACTCTCCTCTGCTCTGGAGAGGAACAGCATCGTCCTTCCCTGAAAGGATGTGCTCTGCCATCAGAGCCGCCCTGCCCCGGCCAAAACATCTCCTGACAAACAACCAGCAGCTCGTGTCTTTCAAAACCAAAGCTTCAAGGAGATGTACGTCTTGCTCTGCATCTAGTGTACTCACCTGGGGAATGTCAGACCAGCCAGGAGCCTTTAATGGGAGAGCGCAGCATGGCAGCACAGGCAGCCATCCGCATTACGTGACTCCCTGGGCAGCTTTCAAAAAAAATGTTTGTGTAACATTCAACGATACTAAACTTCTTGGTGACCTTAATAACTCTGAAAGACTTGGCTTTACCTCTCTGCATGACACACTCCGAGATGCAGAATCTCTTGCATGACTTTTGGGGTGAGTCACTTGGCTTTTTTCTGCCTGAGGTACAAACGTGTAAAACAGAGTCAACCCGCCCTTCACTCGTACTCCACTGGCACGCACTGGAGTGCCTGAACACAGCTGCTCAAAGAGCTTCACATGTGTAAATACACACAATCTCACTTGCTTCACAAACACACAAAACTAGAAATAAAATCTGTGTAACACCAGAGGATGGGATACAGCCAGAAGAGACATTTCCCCACAGCCACTTCCAGGTGCTCGTCCATACACTGATTTTGTGCGAAACCAGATTTAAGAAACCTTCCCGTGAAAGCCATGTGCTTTGTCAGAACAATCACACAAAAACCCCCTCTGGCCCAGAGGCTGAAGACCCTCATCTGGAGTATTTTCACACCCGCAGCTTGCACTGCTTTGTCCTTTCTCTTCTGAGCCCTTGGCTGGGGGACGGAGGGGAGTGACAATGCACTTCACTGTTCAGTGATTCAATGCTATTTTACTGGGATTATTTATGAGTGCAGGTAAGATACAATGGTCTATACCACCATTTCAGGAAAGACATCCATAGTTAATAACCTAGAAGCACTCTGGCTCTATCAAGAGCGGGGCTAAGAGAAATAATTGCTCCAGCTCTATGGAATGAAAAGGATTCATTGGCAAAACTGTAGCAGTTAAAAGAGAAATCTCAATTAAGAGAAGATACACAAAACTAGCAAGTAAAGACTCTCTGGTGCCTGCTGAAAGCAACAGAGCCAAATCTGAACCTCCAAACAGCACTGAAAGGTCCTTTGAGCCACAGCATCACATCAGGCACAAAGGGTGGAGGAGGATTTGTTTAACAAGCACTACGAAGTCCAAAAGGTTACACAGACAGAGGCTCCTGAAAAGCAAAAATAAAGTAACTTAGTCGAGGCTTTCCAAGTCTGTGGCATCTTTACAGTTTCTGGTCCAAGGCTCTGTCCGGGGGTGCAGCGGTCGCAAGCAGATGACCCTCTTACGACTAACTGAGCTAGCACAAACCAGAAC